TTCTCCAAGAACATCTATCTCTAGGTAGTTGCTGCAAATCACAGGTGAGGCAGAGTTCATAAATTATTTTAAAAGGTGATGAAACAAATGGAGGAATAGGGAGCTTGCAACACAGAAGAATTCGATCAGATGACTAATCTGGAAAAAATTACCAGAACAAATTGAATGAGCTAATTGGACCATTTGGGTGCTGTAACATGGTAAACAATGTCGACATTTTACAAGAGGCAGATAGAAGGCTGTGGTTAACTGTTCAGGATTGAGTAGCTGTGAAGGTGAGGAAATAGCAGACTAATGGGGGAGCAGAGTGGACTGATCAATAACTTATTCAAGGATATTCAAAATAGCAAATAATTCAGCATTAGTAGTTGCCTGTTTAGTTAGAAGAATCTGAATCACTGTGCTGGGTGAAAAGTGAATCACCTAAAATGAAAATTAAAAATCCACAAGCAAGACTCAAGATTTTTTTGGCCCACAGAAAAATGAAAGCAGTGATATATCAATGAACTCCTTCACAAGAACTGGCTTAGTTTCTGCTTGAGTGCAGCAATGGAGGATCTAAGGGTGGATGCAATTCTCCACTAGCAACAAAACTGCTTCCCAACAGCCTGGGCACCGATCCAAACCGGGGCACGGGGGGAGGAGGCAAACACTGAGCCGAAAATGCAGGGTGCTGTGCCACAATCTGGCTAAACACTAAACTTTCAATTCAAAAATTCCAGAAGTTGTCACCAATTGTAGCATTTCAGGATCAGGATAATGTGTTAATCGATATGTGTGAAATTTTTGTTGCAAAGCCCACCCAAATAGCCATTCCTATCAGATTTAAACACAACAGCGGGTGAAAGGCGCTATACAAATTGTTGTAGATCATTCACTTCATGTTTGCTTGTGGGAATTTTGTGGTGGAGGACGTCTCAAAGCGCTTTACTGGACATATTGCAAAGTGGAGTGACTATGTACCTTGTGACCAAACGCAACAGTCAATCTCCACATAGCAATGACCCACAAACAGCAATAAAGTGAAGTGAATGACCAATTCTTATTTGTGCTTAGACAAGGCATCAATTTAACATTTGAAGCATGCCACCTCGAACATGCAGCATACTTCCAGTATTGTATTTGAGCAACAGCATAGACTATGAGAGCAAAGTCCTTACATTGGGCTTGAACCCACTACTTTTGACTCAGAGGTGAAAGTGCTACTAACTGAGCCAGGCTAACAAGTAAGTCATGAGGTCTGGTATCAACTAGGTTATGTTTTCAGTAAGGCCAGAACCCAACCTCACCCTCAGTGTTTCACTTGTTTTAAATAAAGCGTTGCTTTAGCTAAATAATTTAAAACCAGCTAAGTGTGTACTTTAACCAAAAAAGAATGCAGAGCAGGAAATAAGCAGGTCCCAAGTGAAATAGTAAGTCTGTCTCCAAGGTTCTTCGACAGAACATCAATTACCAGAAGCTTGAGGTGCCAACAAGGGCTGGATGCATTACCAGATGAATTAGATGGTTTGTATTTTGATTAAAATTGGTCAGTATTGTGCTGAACAAAAATGAAATTTTGGAAAGTTATCCCTGTCTTTTACGTAAAGCTGTAAATGAAGTAGCACTCGAAAACACACACTGGATCACCAACACACTGCATCATGGAACACAACACGTGTCCCTGCGATTTCTCAACACAAATTATTAATCTGCTGCTGGTAATAATGCAGGTAACAATGCATTAAAGATCCAATGGGAGAAAGAGAAAAAGGGTTTGAATTTGTTCAGAAAGTCAGAAAATCATTTATCTCCTGTTGGATCAGCTGATAATGATTGCCCATATGGACCAGAAATATCCATTCTGTGCTGAGTGAGATAATATAATTATAATTTTCTGCATCTGATATAGCGCATTATAATGCCACTGGGACATCTTAAAATGTTTCACAGGATTTTACTGTAAAGTGTAGTGATTCTATGTTTGTAGGTCAAAGCAACAGACCTTTTGCATACAATGTCCCATAAACAACCATGACGTAAGTGACCAATTTTATTTGGAGGCAATTAATCTCACACAAGGTGGCAATTTTGATCCTACAAGTGGCATTATACCTCTGCTACTGGAGGACATACATAGACACACACACACACACACACATACATACGGTCTTTATGTGCGGTAAAAATTAAATATACAGAATTACCTAAGGTACCATTTCATACAAAGTATTTCCTGAGAACACCTCAATCATTTGATAATTCTGCAGAGCTGTAATGACTGCTGCATCAATGGTGATCTCAAAGCTTTATGCAATTGTACAATCCAACATGGGAGCAATTTAGCAGGTATCTCTTTTCCAGGACATCCTTGGGAATGAACACAATGCCCTTTTAATATTCTATTCTGGTCCGAGATTAGAGGTGTTATTATTTGACGAACTAGAACCCAGGATCTTTCTAACTAGGTTGAATGCACAAAACTGAGGCCCTCCTGATTGGCTCGCGTCAGCGCCTCCGCACCTCAGGCGCTGACAGCATCAGCATCCAAGGCTGCACTCTCCACCTCTCAAAGCCAGTCAGGAACCTCGGCGTTTTGTTCGACCCTGAGCTGTCCTTTCTCCCTCACATCCGCACCACAACTGGCACCGCCTTCCATCACCTCCGGAACATCGCCAGACTATGGCACTACCTCACCCCTCACGCTGCTGAAACTCTGGTCCACGTCTTTATCACCTCAAGGCTGGACTATGGGAACTCTCTCCTCGCCGGCCTTCCCGACACCTCCCTCCACAAGCTGCAGGTCATTCAGAACTCTGCAGCTCGTGTACTGTCCCGCACCAGACTTCGCAACCACATCACTCCCACCCTCGTTCACCTCCACTGGCTCCCCATCCCCCAGAGGATCGATTTCAAGATCCTCATCCTCACCTACAAGGCCATTCACGGCCTTGCTCCCTCCTACCTCTCCGACCTACTATCCTCGTACCTACCTGCCCGTACCCTCTGTTCCTCTGGCTCCGGTTTGCTCCACATCCCCCGCCCTAACCAGTATACCATCGGTGGCCGGGCCTTCAGCCTCTCAGCCCCTAGGCTCTGGAACTCCATCCCCCAGTGCCTTCACCTTGCTTCCTCCCTTTCCCCCTTCAAGACCAGTCTCAAGGCCTTTCTCTTCAACCGTGTCTTCAGCTCCGCTCTCGACTCTCTATCCCCTCCTCGCTCCCTCCCTTCCCTCCCCTCACCCTGACCATTTCCCCCCTGCTCGGGTCCAGACCCAACTGTCCAGCGCCTTGGGACGTCCTCCCGACTTGAACGGCGTTCTATAAATACAATCTTGTTGTTGTTGTTATTGTAGGAAGGAGCAAGGTCGTGGAGGGCTTTGAAGTCGAGGACAAGGATTTTGAACACTATCCTCTGGGGGATGGAGAGTCAGATAGAGTCAACTTGCAGGAATTCAACTGAAGTAGCCCAGTGTAATTTAGTCACAATTCCAAAGAATAAAGCTATCCCAAAACATATGTTAAAATGTTAAAACCAAAGGCAAAGTTTTTTTAAAAAATATGCAGATGACAGGAAAGGTCAATGACAGAATGAAGGATGACAGACAAGTGTACAACTGAAAGAATAAAGAGTACAGACCAGAACAGTAGACGTTCATCTTATCTTGTGCATGAAATATTGAACAAATAATGTCTCCAGATAACTGTTCCCCAAGGGATGGAGGCAAGTCCTATTTTACATTGAATGAATGAATCCACATTTATCCTGAACACAAGTTTATTCACACTGGAACAGGAAATATGCATGATTAAGAGCTGTTTGTTTGCAAAAGTGGAAAAACAGTTTTGGTGCAAACATTGAAAGTTCCTTCAAAGTATTCATTCAGGAAGCATTTATCAAATAAACTACTGATGAATTGAAATAAAATGCATCTTAAAGACACGAATAAAGTTAAGAATAACTAACTTATTTTTATAGAGATGGTTTTCAGGCCCCACTGGGAATTCTGTGGCAGTGTTGTGCACAAATCTAATGTTGATTGGCCAAATAACTCATTCTCAGTAAACACTTAATGTTGTATTTGTCTCATAGTCATCCTACCCTCACAACCACAGTCTCACTGGGAAAAATACACCTTTTATTCTGCCACACCAACACGTGGAGGGGGTTAATTACATCTCATCCTTGGGTTAACTCTATTTAAAATACTTTAAGGGAGAGAAAGAGGGTGGTTTATTTTCCTCGGGATCTCACTTTAGAGGGTGTTTTCAATGTGGGACAGGAAAAGTGTGGCTTCTGTAGAGCTGAGGGAGCACTTGAGATTAGGGTTGTGCTTTTTTTGTTTTAAATGGGCACGGGCGGGAGGAGCTGGAGAAGAATATGCCAACCATCGAAAATAGCTAATGAAATATTTAACAGGTATCTTGTTAATGGTGGTTTTATTTTTCATTTTCTATTAACTTCAATGCCCGAGGCAATCCTTCCAGATACAGTCAAGCTGTGATCTCAATTGTCAGAGCACTCGATCACAATTCTACCTTTTGCTATGACCAAAACTTTTGAGACCTCTACACAGAGTGTTGAATTGAGCAGTCTGCCGTTTCCTCTTATTATCTTTAAGATGAGATGAGAAAAAATGTCACCACATCCATTACTTTATTAACACATGATGAGCACAGCGGCTTAGGAAGAGCAATACTGATTTGCTAAGGTTTGTTGGGTCGGTACATTAGACCTCAATTTGAAAGACTAATGAGCATCAATGAATATGAAGCAAAATTAAATCACCACGATTCACTAGAAAGCAGTTACTGCAACCTCATAATTCTCATTCAATGGTAAATGACATACCTCGTATAATGTCACTGAATTATTCACAATACAAGTTAACAATGACAGACACCAGCACTGATATGACCTGAGCCTGTAATGCTCCAGTTACTTGATGTTTTCGGATCATACAGTAGTTTCTTGCAGGACTAAAATGCTGCATTTGGAATTGCAATAGGAATAAGATGTACCTCATTGCCATGGACCATCAAGTGATGTGTGGTAACCAGAGCCTTAAACACCACTACCCAGCTGCTATTTGTCGCTCTCTCAAACAGTGTGTCGGCCATCAGAGGTATATTAACATTTGTCTCATTTGTAGCTTGTATCAGATCTGAAAAAAATACAAACAATATTATAATCTCAGGTAGAACACATGTTCCAGCATATACAAGCAATATACAACAGTTGGAGCAATCATGGCAATCAGGTCCTTTGAACAATAACACCTACCTTCAAAATTAAATCAGGAAAGTCTTATGAAGCTACATGTTAAGTACTGTAATTAGGCAGCAAAATATGGAGGCATCTTTCAGCATTGCAAACTTCATTTTCCACAGCCGCACATTGCTGAGAACCTTTAATAGAATGAGTATCAGAAAACTATTGAAACCTATCATTTTAGAAGTAGCCTAAAAGTTCCCTTGTAAGTAAAGCAATTAAATCAAATTTGCTGTGGTTTTCCAAATATTGGTACTATTATTTCTAAACACTTCATTTAGCTCACAGTTGCCAGCCATGGTTTGTACATATAAAAGAATAGTTATACAACTGCAACCTACAGAGCAGTATTAGTTACAGTCATCCACTAAAGATTGCATTTCTGTAATTGTACAATGAAGACATCACAATTTAATCTTTCAGTGAATGTGTTATCATGCATATCAGGTAAGTGTAGTGTCTGTACCATCAACGTCAGCCATAACACCAACAAGGGACAGCAGGAAAGGCTTAACATATTTCCTTCGATAGAACATGGATGTGGAAAAAGATAATGAATTGATGGAGGAGATTACAATGAAGATAACCTCCTCATGGGGATTTACACGGCAAACCATTTGTGTTCATTGCAGTGATGTGACATTTGTAACCTATCTTTGCTGGATATCATTTTCTGCAACCAGGACTTTTTCTTTGATAAACAAGGGCACTTTGCTACCTTCAATGTGCCTGGGTATAAAAGTAAAACCTCAGCAGGAATTGCCATATGACTAGAGTGACTGTGACTGTTGCTGGACATTGTTAAGTGTGTAGGAGGGAGGGAAAATCGGATGAGAACATGATCGGACTTGGCCCTCTAGGATGAGTCATGAAGGTTAGCAACCAGGTGAGGTAGAGAAGTGGTATCTCTTGCATTCATCACGCTACATCACAGCCAAGCTCAACTACATTAACTCCATGCTTGCCAGACTTCCCAACTATTCCCTGCACAAGATGCAGATTAGTCAGACCGTTGCAGATTGTGTCCTCTCCCACACCAAGCTCCGTAAACTGATCACCCGCATTCCTCGCCTGGCTTCATTGGTTCTCCAACATCCAGAGAATTTGGTTTAAAATCTTCATCCTCACTTTTAAACCTCTCCACAGTCATGCTCCCCCCTTCCTCTGCGACCTATAAACACCATAACAACCTGTTGGTGGTCGGGCCTTCAGTTTTTAATAATAATCCTTGATTTGATATAGTTCCCTATCACATCTTCAAGATATCTCAAAACCCTTCACAGAATATACTGCAAAGTGAATTGGCTGTATATTTTGTGGGCGAAACTCGGCAGCCAATTGCGCACAGCAGTGTCCCACAAACAGTCGTGGATTGGGTGATCATTTTTAAAAAATGTTCTTAAGGAATTATTAACCACCGGAAAAGCGATCCGCCAATCGACTTACAACTGGGTTCCTACTTACTGCTCTGTAAACAGAGGCGTGTGGAGTAAGGAAACTTGCCCAACATTTTGCCCTGCCGGGAAACGAACCCACATCATCTCGTTTGCGAGGCAAGTGCTCTAACCACTAAGCTACAGCACTCCACGTTAAAAAGCTCGATATACACTGATTATACCATTTGAAATTGTAATCTGATAAGTTTAGGTATAATGTACCCAGTGTTTCTGCTATATTATACAATAAACCATGTGCAAAACTTGTGTGTACTTTACAGCATATGTCACAGTCATTGTAGATGCTCTTAATTTTCTAATTAACCAATGAAAATAAATTATTATTAATTCCATAAATAATAAATCATTCCAGAGTTAAGAACACTTGTAATTCCTTCTGCGTATATGGCATATAAAAACACATTCATATTTGGTGCATAATAGACCTAATTCATAGAATTATATAGCATATAAGGAGGCCATTCAGCCCATCGTGTCTATGCCGGCTCTTTGAAAAGAGCTATCCAAATCAATCCCACTCCCCCGCTCTCTCCCAATAGCCCTGCAAACTTGTCCTCCCCAAGGTAATTAGGTAATTACCTAAAAGGAATTTCAACAATTACTTACATTGATATAGTTACTGTATAGATCTTTTAATGGTGTTTATAATTTGTGCCTTCATTCATAGTTCACTTCTCAATTCTGCAGAAAGAAATTTGCTACATTATGTCTATCATTTCTCGGCCAATAGACAGTCTGGTAAATTTGGCAGATGACATTTAAAGCAGCAAAGTTTGAGGTTATAAGTTGAGGTTATACATTTTGGGGAAGAAAATAAGGAGAGGAAGTATGTGCTCAATAGTCATTTTAAAAGAAATTGAAGAGCAGAGAGAATTAGGCTTCATATAAATCTTTAAAGGTGGGAAGGCAGGTGGACAAAGCTGTGAAGAAAGCTAATGGGATTTACGGTTCTATAAATAGGAGCATAGAATATTAAAACCAAAGAGATGATGCTTAACTTGTATAAATCATTGGTTAGACTGCAGTTAGATTACTGTGCCAGGGTCCAGTTTTGGTCACCTCACTTCAGAAAGGATCTATAGAGAGAATGTAGATAGGAATTACTGGGATGACACCAGGGATGAGTGGTTTGAACGATGAGCAGAGATCGGAGAACTGGACCTATTTTTACTGATTGCGATGAGGCCTCACAAGAGAGGTTTGAATGGACAAGGCCATTCAACCCATTTAATCTTAACCTACCAGAATAGCTACCCTACATCCCATCAACCATCATCTTGGTAACTTGTTCCAGTCAATAATTACACTCTGGCTAAAAAAGAAATCCTCACGTCTATCCTGAAATTGTCCTTTGCAACGCTAACTTTTGTGCATATGAAACTATTGTTCTGAGTTTATTTTCTCAATCCACTATTTTAAAAAAATGATACCTCTATGAGGTCCCCTCTGAGATGTGTTGTTTCAAGACTGAAGAGCCCTAGCTTGTCTATTCATTGCTCATCGCTCATTTCTCCAACATTGGGGATCATCTTGTTACTTCTTCTCTGCATCGAGGCTTGACTATGCAAACTTACTACTTGTCGGCCTCCCCAACTCCTCTCTCCATAGGCTGCAGTCATCCAGAATTCTGCAGCCAGTGTCCTCTCCCGCACTAGACTCTGTGACCCTACACCCTCTTCGAGCGGGCTTTCAATCTCCCTGCTTCCCCCCTGCCTTCCCCCCTCCTCCACCCCGACCCTCAGCTCAGGTCCGAAACTCTGTCTGTCCAGCGCCCTGGGGCGTCCTCCCGACGTGAAAGGCGCTATACAAATGAAATGCTATTGTTGTTTGCTGTTAAGATCTTTGGTTCTACACATAACCTATAATTCTAAAGTACACAAAAATGAGCTAAAGGATGCGATAAAAAAGCACTTTATTAAGTACACTCTGTTGAGTCCTGTAGCTCAGTGGTTAGAGCACTTGCTTCACAAGCGAGAGACCTGGGTTCGATTCCCGGCAGGGTGAAACTTCGGGCAAGTTTCCTTATTGCACACCCCTGATAATAATCCCTCAAGAAAGAGAACAACAATAAATTGGTCACTTCAATCCACGACTGTTTGTGGGACACTGCTATGTGCAATTGAATGCTGCGTTTCGCCCACAAATGTACAGTCAATTCACTTTACAGTCTATTCTGTGAAGCGCTTTGAGACGTCTAGAAGACATGAAAAGCGCTATATCAAATGCAAGGATTATTATTATCATTATTATTAAAGTATTGAGCTATACATAATAGGAACCCCTCATGTTCAAATCCTGGTCTGCACTGCTCACGTCAACAGGGTACTATATTTACAGTGCTTCTGCAGGAGCCCAGCGTTTCTGCGCTAATCACTCCCTAACCCACAACTCATGCTGAAGTGTGCATGTGTTTGCTGGGTGAGACAACCTAGTGACTAAGCCTATTTAGCGAATGGCTAAGCACAACAGTATATTGCCATTTGGGGAAGATAGGTGGAAAGTAAACAATTTGAAAGAAAAAGAAGATCACTTTATTTAATACACTTTGAGATGGATTCTCAAATGTGGAATTTATACTGTACCTTTGACTGTCAGATGTGTAGGTTGCCATGCAGGTGTAAGCCAGTCCTTGGAGTTTCGCTTCCTAACAAAGTTATATTCTTAACACTTTTACACGTAACACTGGAAAACTGATTGAGCAGCAAACAGACTGGCTCAGTACCTGACTGCATCAAACTACCAGTAGAAATAAACCCATTCACATCAGCAATCTGGTCCTTTGCTTCCCGCCCCACCACAAAGGTTCATAGCAGGCCCCACTCCTTTAGCAATGGAGAATGGACAAGTAATACAGGACGCTGAACATGATCTTTGCACAAGTGTCTGACCTCATGTATAAAGCCAGAGGGGGAGGTAACTGGTAGCTCAGCTAAGTACAGCCAACATAAACCTCAGAGGGAGATAAAGAACAGCATTCAGTAGAGAAGCTAGGTTTGACTGCTTGCTTTATACCATAGCTTTCCCTTTGCAATTCATCTGGTTCGTGTTGAATGTTAAGGTTGGCTGTATTAGTTTAGCACAAGCCATAGAATGTACAGTGGCATTTTCTATTAGAGGTGTGAGTGTTTAGATAGGGATTGATTTATTGTGTAATGAATAAATGGCTTGGTTCTCGATTCCTCTGTCTTGTTTATTATTTGACCTCTGATCTAACCTGGCTCTGCTCCAGGTCTGTTTGTCAAGAGGGTCACCACAAATCTTCACAGCAGCTTCATTTATTCATCAGTTCTATAGTTCAGAATCCAGTGTACAAGTTACAACAGTCTAATCCTCCCAAACATTTTCAACACAAATGCAGTTCTTAAAAGAAAATAGCACCTGAAGGACAAAGACAATACAACTTACATTGCACCCTTCACTTTGGATAACATCTCAG